CATTCTGTCTTGCAAAGCAGACTGGAGAAGATGATGCAGATTCTATAGACTGAAGCAGAATTTTTTATAAATCGAATCGTTTTGAATCGAAAATCGGTTTTGAATCGAAAATCGATTTTGAATCGAATTGTGGCCCCAAAAATCGGAATCGAATCGAATCGTGACATAGTAAAAGATTCCCACCCCTAGTTTCTACCATACAGTATATCGTTTATATCGTGCATTCCTACGTAAACTTGTCAACTAGTCACGCACCTCATGACATCTCCTTCTCAAATGGAACACCACCACTGACAAAAGGACTAAAGTATGGATCATCCTACCGCAGTAGCTGAGTTTGAAAACTGCCACCACCTCCGTCCTCCAGGGTGGGTCGTTCCTCTTGGTCTCCACCACTTCCACTTCCTCCTCCTCCAGATGACCCTCCAGATCGAAGGTGGCGTAACTCATCAGGCTGGAGGGCACTGTACCAAGCCTGATGCCCACTGTCAGGGCTCAGCACGGGGCTCTTGTCCTCCTCCTGGCCTTGGACCTGACTCTGCACCGTCTTCACGATGTTCACCGCGTTCACCGGCAGCTGCAGCAGCTTTTGCATGGTGGTCATCTCTCAAACTTTCAGTCTGAACCACGTGGGTGGATAAAGTGGAGAAAGCCTGCAGGTTCCCTTAGCAATTCTTAGCTAATTATCAGCTGAAATTCTTTTGAAGGTCCCCAGAATGTTTTCACACAGCAAAAGGCAGGATCACCTTATTTTGTTATATATATTCTCGTCAGGGATTAAATATATCCAATTTGAATATTTCTCCCAAGCTCGGCACCAAAATCCTCTCCATACATTCTGATTGTGGGAAGGTTACGCTATAGCCTCAGTGCTGTAATTTAAATCCAGTAGAGCTCCAAAACACTTAACGCTGTTTCTCTTTCTGCTACTGCTGAGTACGAGCTCATCCAGTGAAGGAGCGAGCATCTGCTGCTCAGTAAATGGATGCTCTCAGCTGGGAGGGGAGTGGAGTTTTATTTGCCATGACGCTTCTCCTCTTGCGACTCCTCCCTCTGCTCATGTGCTTCCTGTTTCTGCACCAGGCTCTCTATGCATATATCATTGACATTTGCCTCTCCCATTTTTTTTCTTCCTGGCCCACCATCACCCACTCTGATTGATCGTCACCTTTGTTTAGTCTATAACACATAAAAGACTATAAAGCTTCCTTCCCCCAGTTTATGTTGTCTCCCTCCTTCACATCCTTCCTAATCTTTTCAGCTCTGTGACAGACACTTGCTGTAAATACAACTCATTTGATTTTAAAGCTGTCCTGATTCATCCAAATTATCTGTCCTTTTTTGTCTTACATGACTCAGCTTTCTTGGTGATGTCGTGATCAAGATGTCTCTCTCTCACTCGCTCGCTCTCTTTTTTTTCTTTTCTCTCCCTCCCACTCGTTTTCCTCCTGGCCCGAACCAAAATAACTGTCTTCAAGCGAATTTCACATATGCCTTGTCTGTGATCTATCACGGATCAGTCAGGGTTTGTTGACATTTGCTAAACACTAATGCTTCCCCATCCCATCCACTCACCTCTCCCCCTTTTTTACACATATCAACAACAGGTACCACCTTGAGGCTCTGTCACATTTGCAGTGAATCACACTGACAGATTTGACTTTTAAAAAATGCTGTGGGAACAAACTTAGTCTTGGATTTAGACCTAAAATCATCTTCTCTTGCTGTTGCCCTGAAAATGAATTATAGTGGCTCAACAAATGTCAGGCTTCTTGCGATTTTCAATTCAAAGTATTCTCTATTGGTCATCAAAAGCAGGAGTTCTTAACCTTTTTGACGTCGGGACCCAATTTATTGAACATAAAGTGACACGAGGCCCAGTCAGACATTACCAATGTATGGATCAAAATGATAATTATTATAAATCTTGTTTAATTTTTATTGTATTTACATCATAACTAAAT